ATATAGACCAGGCTGGCCTTGAACTCACAGAGATCTGCCTGCCTCTGCCTCCCGAGTGCTGGGATTAAAGGTGTGTGCCACCACACCTGGCGAGAGAGGATTTTTATTCAGTATGATTTTACTGATGTTCTGGCTGTTGAAATCATTGATAGTTAATTCCTTTTTAAAAAATATTTTATTTATTTTATTTTATTATTTTATTTTATGTGTATGTGTATGTGTGTATTGTCTGCATGTAGGTAAGTGAACCCGTGTCGTATGGAGGTCAAAAGAGGGTGTCAGATCCCCCTAGAACTGGAGTTACAGTTAGTTGTTAGCTGCCAATGTGGGCACTGGGAACCAAACCCGGGGCTTCTACAACCACTGAGCCATCTCTCTAGCCCTGTTGCTAGCTTTCCTTTTTTATTAATATTAATATTAGCCTTGTTTTGTTTTCTGTTTTGCTAATGGAGTATTCCTTCTGGGACATAGTATGTTCATCAATTACTCTTTACAATTGTATTCTGACTTCTGTTCCCATGAATGGCAGTGTATTTCTCCTCTGTATATCCTGTTTGCTTCCATAAATTCTGAACTGCTGGCTTGCTTGCCATGAATTGGTTTATTTCTTCAAATACCCCTCCTCCTCCATCAGTCTGAAGAGATTCCTTTTCTGCCCATCAATTTTAATTAATTTGTTCACTTTCAGTAGGTTAAATGTAGTTTTACTGGTCTTTGTTAACAAGAGACCTGGCATTATTACAAATTTTTTGCCTTTGTAATGAGTTGGTATTTTCCCAACTGGATTAAGCATTGACTTGTTACTTACTATTACTTGCATGTTGCCTATGATGTGGAATGCAGAGCTCTGTCAGTATTTATTTGGGCTTTCTAAATGATGCTCTTGTGATTGTATATCCATTTATTTCTCTACTTTTCATAACACTTCATTTTTATTGAATACATTTTCTCACTTCTGATTCAACTCCTTTTAGTGCATAGATTTTTATTTTAGTTCACTTGATTGTTTATCAGTGTTGTTGGAGACTTGAACATGCTTATTACATGTTCTTTATGCATCTCTTAATGTGTCTCATCACCTCAGCCTTATTCTCCATATCGAAACGCACTCTTCTTTTTCATTTTCCTGTAGAACTCCACTCTTAGAAGACAGCAGAGAGTTCATAATATAGAGAAACCCTACGCATGTGAAAAATGTGAAAAGTGCTTTAGCAAGGCCTCAGATCTTAGAAGTCATAAAAATATTCATACTGGGGAGAAACCCTACAAATGTGAAGAATGTGTCAAGAGCTTTACTCGAATGTCAAATCTTAGAATACATCAGGCAATGCATGCTGGAGAGACACCCTACAAATGTAAAGAGTGTGACAAGTGCTTTACCCAGGCCTCAAATCTTAGGCGTCATGAAAGGACTCATACTGGAGAGAAACCCTACAGATGTGAAGAATGTGACAAGTGCTTTACTCAAATGTCAAGTCTTAGAAGTCATAAAAATAGTCATAGTGGGCAGAGACCCTACAAATGTGAAGAATGTGATAAGTGCTTTACCAATGCCTCAAAACTTAGTTGTCATAAAAATATTCATACTGGGAAGAAACTCTACAAATGTGAAGAATGTGACAAGTCCTTCAGCCACGCCTCAAATCTTAGACGTCATCAAAATATTCATACTGGAGAGAAACCCTACAGATGTGAAGAATGTGGCAGGACCTTTCCTAGGCATTCAACACTTAAGACTCATTACACAATTCATACTGGAAAGAAACCCTACAGTTGTGAAGAATGTGGCAGGTCCTTTCTTAGGCCTTCAACCCTTAAGATTCATTCCATAATTCATACTGGACAGAAACCCTACAGATGTAAAGAATGTGGCAGGTCCTTTACTATGCGCTCATCACTTAAGACTCATTACAAAATTCATACTGGAGAAAAACCCTATAGCTGTGAAGCATAAGAAACCCTACAGTTGTGAAGAATGTGGCAGGTCCTTTCTTAGGCCTTCAACCCTTAAGATTCATTCCATAATTCATACTGGACAGAAACCCTACAGATGTAAAGAATGTGGCAGGTCCTTTACTATGCGCTCATCACTTAAGACTCATTACAAAATTCATACTGGAGAAAAACCCTATAGCTGTGAAGCATGTGACAAGTCCTTTACTTCTTTGTCACATTTAAGGTTTCATCGGAGAATTCATAATGGAGAGAAACCCTACTGATATGAAGAATGTGACAATTCCTGTCGTGCTAGCTTAGCACATAGGGAACATCAGGAAATTGATACTGGGGAGAAACCCTACAAATGAAAAGGGCTGAGTGTCCTTTGCTCATATTTCAACTGTTAGAGAACACCATAGAATGCATAATAAAGGGAGACACTACAAATATAAATCATTTGGAAATTTCTTTAACTGTATATCAAATGGTAAACTTACCAAAAATTTATACTGCAGAGAGAGTTTACAATTGCACAGAATGTGGAAATCCTTCACCCTGGGCTCAAGCCTTAGAAAACAAAACAGAATCCATAGTAAAAGGATAGGTTTCAAAGTAAGG